GACCCCAAGCCCAGCCCCAGAGTTGGGGTGAAGAGAGTGTGGGCTGTTCCCCGCTCCTTGCAAGGAGCTCAGCGCCAGCCTGCACCCCCTGGGGCTGGGACAGGCGGGGGGGTCCCGGTGCAGGCAGGGGGGTCCCAGTGGCCACCTCGGCTCCCCCGGGGCCCGCTTACCGCATGTCCCGCAGCACCGGCTGTGTCCCCGCGGGGCCGGCGTGCGGAGGATCCCGCATCCCTCCGGCCGTGCCCGCTGCCAGAATAAATAGAAAGCGTTTGCCGGCTTGGCAGCCCCTCCACAAAAGCCGTATTGAACCATTATTCCCCGCGTTGGCTGCGAGCACTAAAAGTGGCGCCTCGCGTTCTGCCATCTAATGACCCTTCGCAGCCTCCTACAGATGTTTTCTATGACTTACAGCTCCTTTTCCAACAGCCCCGTCCGCAAAAACAAGAGGGGCCACTTTAATTCCAATTAAATACCTCCAGCTAAGCAAACAGTGTGCAGCGGGGCTCGGGCACGGCGCTGCGGCCAGGCCCGGCCCACGGAGTCGCTGAGTCTAGACTCCAGATGTGATTCCAGCAGCCCCCCAGTGTCCCGTGGAACACGGCGCTGGCTCTGCCGTGGGGGTGCAGCACCCTGCCCCGAGCTGGGGGGGGCACCCCCCCTCCTCCCCGCTCACCGCCGCAGCGTGCACAGCGCGGTGTGGGTCTGGTGCAGCATCCCACGAGGCTCCTGCATCCTGCCCGGCTCCGGGTAGTGTCACCCCGTGTCACCGCAGCCTCCGGAGCCCCTGAGCATGCAGGAGCAGGCTGGGGGGGGGGGGTGTTGCACATGTTGCCCCCCAGCACCGGCATCTTCCTCTCGCCGCCGTCGTGCCAGCCGTACGTGCGGTGGGAGCGCGGCGGCGAGCCAGGAGCTTTCCCGAGGGGAGCGGGGTCACCCCTCACCCTGCCCGGCCGATAAACCGGGGCTGACCGGGAGGAAGGAAACGCTCCGGCCCCTGCGAGGAGCCGCCGGCGCCTCGGTGGCCCCGGCTTCGCTCGCCCGCTGCACCTGGGCCCCGTGGCAGCGCCGCGGCCGTGCGGCTCCGCTCTGTCTGGGCCACCTTCCCCTCGCCGCGGGGTCCCTCCGGTTTTGTGGGGGGGTGTGTGTGTGTGGGGGGGGTGTATGTGTGAGGGATAGGGGGGGGAGCTGCGGAAACAGGAGCGCAACTGGTTCTGACAGGAAACCTCCATCCGCGGAGCTGCGCCCAGCTGGGGCAGGGACCGGAGCCGGGCTGCCCCGCCGGCGGCAGCTGTGGGGTTTGGGGTGATCCCCCTACCCACGGCCCCGCGGGGCAGCGGTGTAGGTGCCCACTGGTGGGTGGGGGGGAAGCCCCTGGGCACCCTCCCCCTCATGCCAAGCTGCTGCCAAGGATTGCAGCAGGGCAGGATGGGCTGAGCTGGGGGGGTGCGCAGGGGAGCACCCCTGGGTGCAAATGCCGGGGAGCAGGACGGTGGTTTCCCCGGGTGGGGAGTGTTGGTGCCTGGGGGAGGGGGATGAACGCCAGGACTGCTTGTCCCCGCAGCCCTGCAGAGCCTCCCCACCGCGACCGGGATGGGTGCTGGGTGCTGCGGTCCCCACGGTGCGCCCCGGCGGCGGTGGGGGTGCCGGCGGTGAGAACCGGGGTCCTGCTGGGTGCTGGGTGCTGGCGCCCGGCCGGCGGCTGCGAGCGGGGAGAGGAAGCAGCCGAGAGGCAGCCCCAGCCCCGGCCGGCCGGCGAGGAGGGGCAGGAAGCTGGAATAAATCCCAGGAAGGGCTGCCTGGCTCCAGCTGGTCTGGGCTGCAGCGGATGGAGCCGGGAAAGGGGAAGGGAGAAGGCGGGAGGGGAGCGCACAGGGGCTCTCGCAAGCCTCGGCCCCGCTCCAGCTGCACCGGCAACCCCGGGCTCAGCACCATCCTGCGGGCACAGCGGGGCCGGAGGCTCTGCCCGAGACGCTGGTGGCCCGAGGGTGAGGGGTCCTGGATGGAGCCCAACGCCAGCCAGGGCAGGAGCAGCCCAGGTTTGGGGATCCCGTTCGCTGCGGGGGGGAACCCCAACCGGCCCCGCGGTCTCCCTGCTGCCGTCCCTCCTCCTCGCAGCCCCGCAGAGCCCTGCTTGCTGGCGTGTGGCTTTGGGTGCTGCCAGGGCTGGGGGGCCGGCCGGCCCCCGTCCCCATCATCACGGCAGCAGCCGTGCCCTGTGTGGTCCCGGGAGAGGGGCAGCCAGAGAGTGGGGGGGGGCTTTGATGCTCTCGGCTGCTGGGCAACCCCTGCTCGGCATGAAGCAGCCGCCCCCCGCCCCCCACCCCACTCCCCCCCCGGCCGGGCTGAGCCCCCCCAGCGCCATATGGCCGAGGCCGCTGTTACCGCGCTGCGCGCCCCGTTCCCAGAATTGAGATGGAAATGAAGCTATCTGTCTTGCCGGACAACGCCGGGACCCCGTGCCCGCCTGTGCTCAGGGCAGCGTCCTGGGGCCCCACTGGCACCCCCATCCTCAGCTCCCCCATCCCCAGCACCCTCATCCCCAGCACCCCCATCCCCAGCACCCTCATCCTCAGCACCCTCAGCATCTCCACCCTCAACACCCCCATCCTCAGCACCCCCATCCCCAGCACCCCCACCCTCAGCACCCTCATCCCCAGCACCCTCAGCATCTCCACCCTCAACACCCCCATCCTCAGCACCCCTACCCTCAGTACCCCCCATCCCCAGAACCTGCACCCTCAGCACCCCCATCCCCAGCACCCCCATCCCCAGCACCCCCACCCTCAGCACCCTCATCCCCAGCACCCCCAGCATCCCCACCCTCAGCACCCCCATCCTCAGCACCCCTTCCCCCAGCACCCCCATCCCCAGCATCTCCACCCTCGGCACCCTCATCCTCAGCACCCCCAGCACCCCCACCCTCAGCACCCCCACCCTCAGCACCCCAAGGGTGTCCCGCAGCCGGGGCCACCCCACCAGCCAGAGCGGGGATGGCTGTGCCACCCGTGCCATGACACCCGCCGTGACGGCGAGGCTCATCCCGACCCCCCCCCCCCGCCATCCCGGGGGTGACCGCTGCTGGGAGGGGCGGGGGGGGGGGGGAGGGACACGGACACCGGGGTAAGTTGCCGGTTGGGGCGCAGGGGCCGGTTGGGGGGTGTGTGTGATGTGTGTGTGTGTCCCTCGTATTGTTGGCGGCGCAGCTGGCGGCACCGGGGCCGGCACTGAAAGGAATTCCTGCGCACAATGTCCCCGGCCTCCCCGCCGCGGCCCGGCCGCCGCCGCCAGATGGGAGCTAATTAGCAGCTTTGAGAGCCGCGGTGGGAACCGGGCAGCACCGGGCCCTCCGCCGAGCCCTCAATGGGAGGGGGCGACCCCGGCCGCCGTGCCCACCCTGGGAACCGACGGGGGGACGCGGGACAGACGGATGCGGGTCCCCCCGCGACGGGCTGGCAGGGTGAAAGCCCAGCCGCGCTCTCCAGGATTCCTCCCCCCCCCCGCACACCCCTTTGGGAGGAAGATGAGGGGAGGCCTTTTGGGGGGGGGGGGGGGGGGGGCTGCAGCGGCGCTGAGCATCAGGCACGGGGTGGGGGTTGACCCCCAGCCCACCCCCACAAAGGGCAGGGCACCCCCTGCACCCCCCCGGGGCCCGGCTCATCCCACCGGGAAGGGCACAAAGCGCCCGGGCTGTCCCCACGGCCGTGGCCACCGCGGGGGTGCAGCCCCCCCCCCCCCCCCCCAGCACCCACAGTGAGGGGGGTGTGGGGTCGGGGAGCCCCCCAGGTTTGTTTGGTGCGGCCTCGTGGGGTGCAGTGGGGGCTGCTCCCCCCCCCCCCCGGCCTCCCCCGGGGCACACGCCTCGGCGTGTACGTGTGCGTGAGAGCGCGCAGGTGCGCACGCGTGTGTGTGCAGCCATCCCGGCGTGCCACACGTGTGCGTGTGCATCTCCGTGTATGCGTGTGCGCGCACACTTACGGGCACGCCTGTGCACACGTGTGCATTCACAGGTTTGCACGTGCACGGGAATCTTCCCGTGCATGTGCGTGTGTGTGCCCATGCATGTGCGTGGCCTCATCATCCATGCATGCGTGTGCATCTGTGTGCACGCATGCGTGTGCGTGCGCATCACCTGTGCACGCGTGTGCACCTGCGTGCATTAGCACACGTGTGTGCATCCACAGGTTTAGTGAATCCTCCCACGGGTGTAGGCGCCTGCCCCCCCCCCCCCCCCCCACGCGTGCCCACTGTGCGCTAGCGGCCGCGCGCCGGTGCGTCTGTGGGCACACGTGTGTCCGTGTGTCTTGCCCGCACCTGGGCGCACGCCCGCGTGTGTGGACGCACACGCGTGCCCACCCGTGACCGCTGCCTGCTGGGCGGGGTGGGCCGGGGGGGTCCCTGTCGGGGGGACCGGCGGGACGGGGTCCTGCTGGGGGTCCCCCCCGTGTCTCGGGGACCCCTCCCCTGTGTCTCAGCTGCCCCCGCTGGCGCTCCCCCCGTGTCCCCGTGGGGGTCGCGGTGCCCCCCGCCCGTGATGCAGGTGCCCCCCCCAACCCGCCCCGTCGCCATGGGCACCGCCCGCGAGGCGCCGCGCTGACAGCGCGCGGGGTTTTATGAATGGGTGACGTCACGGCCCTGGCGTCTAACGGTCTGGGAGGCCGGGGGGGGCGGCGGGGGGCCCGGGGAGTGTATTGGGGAGGGGGATCTGGGAATCTGGAGGGGCACCGCGAGGCCGCAGGGAGCCCCGACACCGGGGGCTGTGCCCCCCGTTAATGGCGGGGAAGGTGCCGGCGCTCCGCACCCCGGTTCCCCCCCCCCCCCTCACCCCACGCCCCCCGGTAACCCCCGCGCCCTCTCCCCGCCGCTGCCCCTTTAAGCCGCTGCCCTCCGGGGCGGAGGGGCGGGTCCGTCCCCGCCTCCTCGCCGCCCAGCCATTGGCCGCAGCTCCCCCCGCGGCCCCGCCCACCCCGGCCGGCGGCGCGCTATAATTGGCGCGGCGGGGCGCGCGCTCGGCTGTCCGCCCGCAGGGTCCTGCCGCCGCCGGTCGCCGCCGCCGCCGCCGCCCCTCGCCATGAAGGTCGCTGCCGCCGCCGCTTCTTCGCCGCTGCCCGCGGGCGCCGGCGGAGCGTTGAAGGCGGTGAGGCCCGGGGAGGCCGCTCGCTGCGGGCCGGGCCCGGGGGCGTCCCCGGGGGCGGCGGAGCAAGCGGCCGCCGCGCTGCTGTACGACATGAAGGGCTGCTACTCGCGGCTGCGGGCGCTGGTCCCCACGCTGCCGCGGCACCGGCGGGTCTCCAAGGTGGAGTTGCTGCAGCACGTCATCGACTACATCTGGGACCTGCAGCTGGCTCTGCAGCGGGGGCCCCCCCGCCCCGCCGCCGCCGGGGACCCTCCCGAGGTGAGCCCCGACCCCCCTCCCACCGCGGGCGCATCGCTGCGGGCCCGCTCCCCTCGATTTTGCGCCGAGCTGTCCCCTTCCCCGGGGGGGGGGGGGTTTCCTCCCACCCCCGACCAGCGCTAACCGGCTCCCCCCGCTCCCCGTTTCCCGCAGGCTCCGTGCATGCCCGCTGCCGACCGCATCCTGTGCCGCTGAGACCGCACCGGACCCGCCACCGACCTCCCCGGGACCCCCGGCACACGGCTGGGGCCGGCGACCCCCTCCCCTGGGGGGGGGGGGGCTCCCCCCGCAGCCGGGGCGTGGGGTGCTGCCCGGCGGCCGCGGGACGTATCCTTCTCAGATTGCTGAGAGCATTCCCCGTATTGTATATTACAATGATGCTGGAGAATATTGTTCTACAATAGCTGGAGTTTTGTTATTAAACAAGCCCTGATGACCAGGCACGCCTCTGCTTCCTCCCCCTCCGCGGGGCTTTTGGGGGGGCTGGACCCCAGGGACAAACCCTGAGGGAGCATGAAACCGGGGGGGGGGGAGCTCATGTGAAGCAGTACAGCCTGGGTGGGTGTGCTGTGGGAGACTGGGGCCTGAGCCCCTGTGGTGGTGCTGAGGAGGGGTCCCAGTTCCTCCCGGTGTGGGGCCCAGGTGTGCTGGGAGCCTGTTCCTGTTTCTGTCCCAGCACTGTGTCCCCACAGAACCTCTCCTGGGACCCCCAGGGGTCCGTGTCCTGCTCCCCCCCCTCGCTCCCTGGGCTCAGATGTGGGGTGCTGGGGACATGCACAGGAGGAAAGATGGTTTGCACCCCAGTTGCTGCAGTGGGAAGATGCGGCGGTGCTGGGACGTGTCTGCCCTGGGTGGGCACCTTGATGGGATGGTGACAATGAGGGGATGGTGCTGGGAGCCAGCTGTGGGGCTCTGTGCCCAGCTGGGGAGCGTGGGGTCCCCCCAGTCTCCCCGGGGCTGCAGTGGCTTTGCAGTGTGGGGCTGCCCTTGCCCCATTTCCCAGCGGGGTGACCCACAGCCCACAGCGTTCCCCTGGCTCCCACAGCCACCCCTGTGTCAGGGCTGAGGCTGGGTGCAGGGGGTGGGGGGTGATGTTGTAGGGGACAGGTTTCCCCAAGGGAGAGTGGCTGCAAGCCCTGGGGTGACCCCGGGGCTCCCTCTCACCCTGGTGCAACCCCCCCACCGGGGTGGGGGGGGGAAGGGGCCGAACAACTTTTCTGGGAGAAGGAAATTGCATCAGGGGTTGTGCAACCCTGGGGGTGCTGACCTGAGCTGTCCTGGTGACTCACAAACATCTTTGGGAACGCGCTGCCTCCTGCAGCAGATGTGTACCGGCCTGGTGGGGGAAAATTGGGGTACGGGGGGGGGGGGCTCATGCTGCCCCAGGGCAGGAGGCCAGCTGGGTGCTGCCCTGACAGGGCCCTTCCTGCCCCCCAGGGTCCCACAGCTGGGGGTCTTGGGCTGGAAGGGCTTGACCAGCTGTGGCTGCAGGTCTGTGCATGTGTGTGCACGGTCACGGATCCGTGTGCCCACCCGTGTTTCCCCAGCCTGGCAAGGGGGCGAGTGGGGGAACCAGGGACGCTGCCTGGCCCGGCTGTGTCACGGCAGCGGGGGGACGGGTAGCGGGCCTGGGGGCTCCGTGTCCTTGTGGATGAACCCATCCATCAACCCCGGTGTCCCTTCCACCGTCGGATGGGTCCCCTCCATCACCCCCCTGGTGACCTTGCCATCCTCTGGTCCCCTGCATCACCCCCCCCCCCACCCCGAGTCCCCTCTGTCATCCCCACGGGTGTCCCCTCCCGCTCCTGCAGCACGGTGGGACAGTGGGTCCCTCTCCTGGTGCCCACTCGCACTGCATGGCCCGGGCCACCCTCCTGGAGGAGCCCCGAGGGGGCCGGGAGAGCGGGAGTCGGGGGGCTCGGCTCGGTGTGGGGGGTGCTGGGGCTGCACCCATGCTGTGCTCCCCGGTGCCCTCCTTGCCTGTTCGTTACCGGCAGGAGTGGAAGCTCCAGCTGTGCATGACGTTACGTGTCCCCACGTCTCTGCCCTGACTCCCCGTGTGCTCCACGGCCGAGCCCTCGCCACGCAGCCCCGGCTCACGGCACGGGGCGGGGGGGGACACACGGTGTGGCACTGCCACAGGACTGCCATGACCCGGGGGGGCCTGGCACCCCCGGGACAGCCGGAGAGCGGGGAAGGGGCTGTGCGGAGCCAGCCCTGGCTGGGAACGGGGCTGGTGGGGCTGAGCCACGTGCCGGGATGCCGGATGCGGCTGCACCAGGATGCGCTGAAGAGCCCCAGGGAGGGCCCAGCCCCACGGGCACCTGCGCCCCGACCCATCCCTCATTGTTTTCATGGGACCTGATTCATCCCGGAAGGGATTAGGGAAGGGGGAACCCAGTGACGTTCTAGTTCGACCAGCCCGGCCGCCCCAGGATGGACATCGGTGTCAGAACCGGTCCCTGCTGCTCGCTGCCACGCACGGCCCCGGGGACATGGGGGGGCTGGGACCCACAGCGGGACCCACGGCATGGGGCACTGCGACCGCCTGCCACGGTGAGGTTTGGTGTAGGGCAGGGGGCACCAAGGATAGAGGGGATAAAGGGGCTGTGGTGGGTGTGGGACGGGGGCCGGGGGCAGCGCTGGCCTTTGGGACGCTGTTGGGGGGCTGCGGCCGTCGCCGTGGCCGTGCTCGGTGGCGCTGGGGGTCCCCGGCAAGCGGGCAGCTGCCATCAAGGGGTCCATCAGGCTGTGGTCCCTCCAGTGAGGTCGGCCGTGGATCCTACATCCCCTCTGTGGTGCTGGGATGGGGTCTTACCCCCCACACACCCCCGAGGGATCCCTGGGTCCCCGGTGCTGTCCCTGTGCCGGATTCCTGGCAGCTGTGGCCCCCGTCCAGCCCGGGGGGGGCTCACCCCGGCTGGGTGAGTTTTGGGAGCTCAAGCGACTCCTCCCCTGTGGCTGGGGTTTTTCGGAGGGGATTTGCACAGTTCTGCTCTCGCACTGACTGTCCCGACCTTCCCGTCACGCCACGACCCTGGGGGCTGCCACCGCGCCCCGGCCACCCTGACCCCCCCACTGAGGTTCGGGTGCTCCCACGCAGGATCCTCAGAACCCCTTCCCGGAGCGGGAACAGCCACCGCTCCCCAGTGCAAACACCCCCCCCCCCCGCTGCAGCCCCCCTGCCCCACGGACCCACTCGCTGTGTCCCCCCCCGGCTCCTCCATCACCCTGGGCTGGGCGCAGCCAAAGTCCCTCGGGACCCCTCGCCCAGCCGGGTCCCTGCATGTCCCCACATGCTGGCCACGTGTCCCCCCCCCCGCCACCCCCGTGGGGAGCCCTGGCTGGTGCCCCCAGCTCCCGCGCAACCCCCAGGGTGGGGGGGGTCCAGCAGTGACGTGGTGTGCGACCCGGGCTCGCTCCGCTCCCACGGTGGGCGCGAGTGGGGAACAACGGGGGAACCGGCTTCCCCTTTGAGTCACGCGTTGGGCAAGGCCGGGCTTTCGGCGGCCGGAGCACCGCGGTGGCCCCCGCGTGTGCGCAGGAGGCTGATGTAACCCCCAGCTCCCTGTCCCCAATATAAGTCCTGGCCAAGCTGGTGCGTGGGGACGGGGTCTCCGCAGCGGTCAGGCATGTCCTCTGCTCCAGCCTCCAGGTCCCAGCACCATCCCCGAGGGACGCCGGGCTCGGCGTGGCTCTGGATCCTGATCCTGCTGACCGCCTGCGCACCCGCCGCCGGCACCAACCCCGGCATCAAGGCCCGGCTGACCCGCAGGGCGCTGGAATTTGGTGGGTCTTGCACCCCGACCACCCGTGGGAGAACTGGGCCAGGCGGTGGAGGAGGGTGCCCAGGCTGCCTGGGATGGGGGGATGAAGAGGGGGTCCTGGTCGCCCCATGGGCACCCCAGCCCCTTCCCCAGCGCCCTCCCACGAGCCCCCGCTCTGCCCCAGGCCGGCGGTTTGGGCTGGAGCTGCTCCAGTCGCTGCTGCAGAAGGAGCACGAGCTGGACCTGAGGGGCTCCTACAACAGCCCCCTCCTGGGGACGCTCACCTACGCCGTGCCCCGGTAAGAGCCACCCGCGGGGTCCCTGTCCCCCCCCCCCCCCCCGCCCATCCCAGCCGTGCCCCGGGCGCAGCCGTGAGCCCAAACCGGCCCCGTGTCGCGCAGGATCCGCGTCCTCGAGCTGCAGATGAACGACTCCACCGTGGACTTTGCCGAGGACGTGGGGGTGAGGCTGACGGTGCAGCGCGCCCGCGTCCAGCTCAGCGCCGACTGGGGAGCCCAGCTGGGCGCCATGTGAGTCCTCACCGGGACGGGGCACAAGGATGGGGACCTGGGTGGCTCTGAGTGGCTCGGGGCCGTCCCCATCCCCGTGCTCACCCTCTCTCACCCTCACCCCCCCACACCCCCCAGCCAGGACACGGGCTCCGTCGAGCTCCACGTGCGTGACCTGGCCGTGGCGGCGGTGCTGGGGGTGAGCGCGGACGGCGGCGGCCGCCCCACGGTGTGGAGTGCCGGCTGCGACGCCCACAGCGCCGACCTGCACGTGGAGTTCCACCGCGGACACAGGTGATGCCGGGACCCCCCGCTCCCCCCCTCCCCGCCATTCCCCTCCTCCCCCCCATTCCCCTCCTGTCCCTGGCACACGGGGGACTCCCCGAAGCAGTGGGCTGGGGGAAGCTGGGGTGCTGTGGGGTGAGCTGAGGACCCCGCTTTGCCCCACAGCTGGTTCTACAACCTCCTGGCACCGCTGCTCCAGAGAGCCCTGCGGCAGCAGCTGAACAAACAGGTGGGTGCTCGGCTCCTGCGCCGTGGGGTGTCGGTGGCCCCATCCTCTCCCCCCATGGTGGGCCCAGCGAGCAGCTTTGGGGACCCCCCCGTCCGTGGGCTCGCTGACGCCCTGCTCTGCTTCCAGCTCTGCCTCGAGCTCCGCAGGGGCATCCTTAGGCTGGACGCTGCCCTGAAGCACATGAAAGGTGGGTGAGGGGACCCCGGGGACTGGGGTTGTGGCAGGAGGGAGCCGGGCAGGGTGGTCCAGGGGGGCTGTGCAGGGGGCTGGTGCCCGGCGGGGTCTGCAGGACCCCACTGTGGGGCTGGATCCCTCCAGCCCCAGCGTCGGCAGAGCCGGGCTGTGGGAGGGGGGGGCTGGTGGTCTCCCCCCAACCACCCCAGTGTCCCTGCAGTGTCCACCCAGCTGGACGCCTTCGCTGCCATCGACCACTCCCTGCTGGGGCGGCCGGCCATCGCGGCGGGGCACGGGGATGTCGCCCTCAAGGTAACGTCACCCCGGGTGGCCCTCGGCCGGCTCCGGGTGCGGGGGGGAGCCGGGCTGAGCCTGGCGTCCATCCCTCCGTCTCTCTGCGCAGGGGGAGTTCTTCAGGGTGGGCAAGTGCCAGCAGAGACTCCCATCAGTGCTGCCCACGGCGCTGCCCGTGGCGCTGCCCGTGGCACCGCCCGTGGCACACGAGCCCATGCTGCTGCTGGCTGTCACCGAGCTCGTCGCCAACTCGGCCGCCTTCACCTACTTCACAGCCGGGGCTCTGCGCAAGAACATCTCCAGCGACATGGTAGGGGTGGCTCCGGCCGTGGCTTTGGGGCAGAGCTGACCCCACCGGGGTCCCCTTGGGGGTGTCCCCAAGCCCGGCTGTGCCTTCTGGCCCCAGCACCCCAACCCCTCTGCTGCCTTCCAGCTCCCACGGGGGTTCCCGCTTCAGCTGAGGACCAAGAGCCTGGGGCTCTTCGTCCCGCAGGTGGGTGAGGGTGGGACGGGACACGGGTAGAAGTGGATGAAGGTGGGACATGGGGTGGGACAGGATGCAGGCGGGATGGGCCATGGGATGAGATGCAGGAGAGGTGGGACACGGGGTGGGATGTGGGATGGGATGCGGGGGGATGGACGAGAGATGGGATGCAGGGGAGATGGGACGTGGGATGGGACGCAGGGGAGATGGGATGCAGGGGAGATGAGATGCAGGGGAGATGGGACGTGGGATGGGATGCAGGGGAGATGAGACACAGGGGAGATGGGATGTGGGATGGGACACAGGATGGGATGCAGTCGGGATGGAACCCAGGCAGGACAGGACATGGGCAGGTGGACCACGGGCAGGACGGGACGCATTGCCCACCCTGCCTGCCCCCAGCCCAGCGCAGGGCAGTGAGGGGGCACACAGGCCCCGGGGGGTGGGGGGGACCAGCGGGGATCCCGGGCTGGTGGCCACGGTGCTGGCAGTGCCAGGGTGGCTCCGTGCCAGCCCAGCCCGGTCCCCCCAAGTTGCAGGAGCACTACCCGGACCAGCCCATGGAGCTGCACCTCACGGCCCGCCGGCCGCCCCGGCTCTCCTGCCACCCCGACGCCCTGCGCGGGGTCCTCTCCGGCTCCGCTGAGGCTTTCGTGGTGCTGCCCAACGCCACCCGAGTCCCCGCTTTTCTGCTGAGCATCGTGAGTGGGCTGGTGCTGCCACGGCACAGGGGCTGCTGCCCGCGCGCCAGGCTGGGCCATGCTGGGGTGATTCTGGGTGATGCTGGGGTGATGCTGGGCCATGCTGGGGTGATGCTGGGCGGTGCTGGGGTGATGCTGGTTGATGCTGGACAATCCTGGGGTGATGCTGGGCAGTGCTGGGGTGATGCTGGGTGATGCTGGGGCGATGCTGGGTGATGCTGGGTGATGCTGGGTGATGCTGGGGCAGTGCTGGGGTGATGCTGGGGTGATGCTGGTTGATGCTGGGGAGGTGCTGGTTGATGCTGGGGCGGTGCTGGTTGATGCTGAGTGAGACTATGTGATGCTTGGATGATGCTGGGCCATGCTGGGGTGATGCTGGGTGATGCTGGGCGATGCTGGGGCATTGCTGGGGTGATGCTGGGTGATGCTGGGGCGATGCTGGTTGATGCTGAGTGACACTATGTGATGCTTGGATGATGCTGGGCCATGCTGGGGTGATGCTGGGTGACACTATGTGATGCTCGGGCAGTGCTGGGCGTTGCTGGGCGATGCTGGGCGATACTGGGTGATGCTGGGCGATGCTGAGGTGATGCTGGGTGACACTGTGTGAAGTGTGGATGATGCTGGGTGATCCTAGGCCATGCTGAGTGATGCTGGGCAATGCCAGGGTGGTGCTGGGCTATGCTGGGTGATGCTGGGCCACGCTGGGTGATGCTGGGCCACGCTGGGCGATGCTGGGCAATCCTGGGGTGATGTTGGGTGACTCCTGGCAATGCTGGGGTGATGCTGGGCCAATACTGGGTGACGCTGGGCGATGCTGGGTGACGCAGGGTTGCAGGCACCGCCCTGGTCTTTCCAACATCCCCTCCTGCTGCAGGACACCAACGTGACAGGGAAGCTCACCCTCACCGGGAACAGGCTCGGGGGCACCGTGAAGCTGACGGGGTGAGTCCCTGGCCCCGTGCTGGGCGGAGGGGGGGGGCACTCGGGGGGCTCCCCCCATTCTCCACCTCTGGCCGTTTGCCCCCCCTGGGTCCCGCATTGCCCGCTCAGAGCCCATCCTGCCCCCGGCTCTCAGCCACGCCTGCTGCCCTGGCACCCCGGCTGGGTGCTCAGCTGGACCCCGCTCTGCCAGGCTCCCGGCCCTGCCCTGGGAGGGGACAGTCCCCATCCCCGTCCCCCCCCCCCCCCGTGTCTCCCTCTCACCCCACTCTCGTGTCCTCCAGGCTCAGCGTGGCGCAGGTGACGTCGCACGTGGGTCCCGTGGAGGTGAGTGGCCGTGCCGGGGACACGACGGGGCTCCGTATCGCCCTGGGAGCGGGGGCTGGGGGGGGGCTGCGGCCCCCGTGCGCGGCCGGCGCGGTTCAGTGCTTGCACAGTGCAGCCCTGGGGGGGTGGGGGGGGGGGGAAGCTGAGCCCCCTCACCTGCCCCGTGCAGGGCTCAAGGGGGGGGCTGCCTGTCCCGCAGGTGAAGAGGCTGGAAACCACGCTGAAGTTCGGGCTGTGGCTTTTCGGGGTGCCCTGGGTAAACAGTAAGTGCTGTCCCCATCCTGTCACCGTCCTCGTGCCCCCCCCCCAAGGGCTGTGCCCCCCAACTCACGGCTCTGCTCTTTACCCCCCACCCCCCAGAGCGGCTCCAGGCTGGCTTCCCCCTGCCCACCCCCCACGGCCTCAGCCTGCTCGACCCCCGGCTCTCGCTGCAGGAGGTGGGTGCCGCCGCTGTCCCCTCACCCCAGTGCCCCCCCTCGTGTGCCCCCCACGTCTCCCCCCACACCCCTTCCTCACCCTGACTCCCCGCAGGGCTTTGTGCTCATCGCCACGGACCTGCAGTACGAGCCATGAGACCAGTTGCAGCGTGGGAACCCACCAGTCCCCCACGAGCCACCCTGCAGGGGGGGGACACCCACAGACACCCCCCCCACTTACCGGGGGGGTCCTCGGCAGGGATTAAAGCAGGGAGCGTGGCTCAGCCTTGGGGTGGTGACTCGGGGACCCCCTCGCAGCCGCCTCCCCCCCCCCAGGTCGGGGTCCCATTCCCGGCTCCGTGTTGGGGCACCCCGGCTGCGTGGGGTCCCGTGGGGGGCTGGTGGGCTCTCGAGGACCGGGAGACACCCCCAACCCAGACCTCGAGTGGGGTGCTGGCCGTGCGCCCCCCCCCTCCCCCCGCAGCCCGGTCGCAGCGGCAGCTCCACGGCAGCTTCCCCCGTCGCCCACGGGATGGAGCTCGTGTCCGTGGCCTCCCACGGCCCCGCTCTGTCCCCCGCGACGCTCCGGCCCGCCCCTTGCACACCACGGCGGGGGGGTGTCGTAGGGAAGGCTGAGCCACGCAGGGAGCAGCCTGGGGAGGGGACACGCACACACCCACGGCTCGGTGTCCCCTACATTTGGGGCATCCCCAACAAGCCCCACTGTTTGTGGGGCCGGGCCCACCGGTCTGGGGTTCAAAGACCACCGAAATGAGCCCCCCCCCCGCGAGGGCTGGTAGTGCTGGGGGGAGGTTTCCCCTTTCCCCAACGCAGCGGTGGCAGAGCGAGGGGCGAGGGGCAGCTTTGGGAATGGGGTGGGGGGGTGTTGTGGGACCCAGTGAAGCGCCCACTGGGACACGGGGTTGCAAGCCCCCACCCCAATATGACAGTGGATGCTCCCCACGGCCGGGTCCCCACTGGTGCTGAGCCCACGGCCCCAAAATCAGCACCCCCCCAGCCCAGCTGTGAGCCTGGCTCGGGCTGCCCTGTCCCCACAGCCCCGTAACGAGGACACGGGACGAGGATTCGGGCCCTGGTCAGGAGCAGACGGGACGGGCAGGGGTCTGCCCCCGTGATGGAGCTGCCCCTCCCCAGCACCATCCCCCTGGGACAACAGCAACAACCCCCCCGCCCCGCCATGGAGCACCCCAACCCTTCCCGGGGCTGGGAGAGGACCCATCTCCCCCCCCCAATCCCACTGATGCTCCTGCCCCAAACTCCCCGAATCCCCAAACCCGCCGCCGCCTCGGCAAAGATCACAGCACCAGCCGCAGCTCCAATGCCAAGAGTTTATTAGTGGACTCACCTCCACCTGCAAACCGAAGCGGTCAACGGGCTAATGCTAATCCTCGCGCCAACCCCACCCCCCCCCACCACCCCCCCCACCCCGTGTGGGATCCGTGGAGGATCCACCGGCGCCGGGAGCGGATCCTCCGCGGGGAGCGCGAGTCCGTGCGCGGTGGCCAGGCGGGACCCCCGGGAGGCTCCGGTCACCAGCCACCCCCCCCACCCCACCCCCCCTCGCCCCAACCTCCCTCCCACCTTGGCCTCTGCAGGGAGCACGGCCCCACACATAAATACGGACAGACAAGATAACAAAAATAGCATTAAGAGTATTCACAAATGAATTAAAAACTACTCGGATCTGTACAGCAGAGCGCGGGCGGTGGGTATGTACACAGCCAGGCCCGCGGGGGCTGCTGGCTCCGCCGGTGGTGCTGGGCTCGGAAGGACGGGGGGGGGGTTATTTGCAAAGCTAAATTTCAGCTCAAAGCCTGGAGGTCCCCCTGCTCCGGTGACAGCGGGAGCATCGGGGGGGGGGGGGTGGGGGGTGTCACAGGGGAGGGGGAAGCCAGGCACCTCTGCCACCGCACACACCCGTCACAGCCACGCCACGGGGACAGGGATCTGCCTGCGCTACGGGGACCGGCGAAACCGGGGCAGCAGAGGAGAGGCCGGCTGTCCCCAGGGAGGCTGCCCCGGCGGTGGGGATGGCTCTCGGCCCTCGTTCCCCCCCCACGGCTCTGCCTTCCCCTGCTGCCACCCCCGGGAAGGGCAGGAGCATCGCTCCCCCCGCTGCCCCTTCCACACCCCCCCCCCCCACCTCTGTGTCCCTGCACGGCCCCAGCTCTCTGCAGAGCCAGGGCGAGGGGCCGGGGAAAGCGCTCGCCCCCCTCTCCTGCCTTTGCCAGCCCGGGGGTGGGCAGGTATGAAGGGGGGGGACACACGCGCTGCCCCACAGCAACCTACATTCAGAGGGAGGAGGAGGAAGAGGAGGGGGAGCCCTTTAAAGCGGGCACAGCCCCTGGGCCTGACACACCGGCCTCAGCTCCCAGCAACTGATGTCCAGGGAGAGAGGGGCTCGGGGGGCTGGGGGGGGGGTGGGATGCGAGGGCAGAGCTCGCTGCCCCCAGCCTCTGCCTCTTCCTCCCGGCCATCCCCCCTCCCCGGGGACAAGCTCTGCCTGGAGGGAGCGGGGATGGGATTGGGGATGCTGCAGGGAAGCTCCGTCCCGGCCGGCAGCCTGCCTCTTCCCGGGGGCCCGGAGCCTCCACCCTTGCTCTGGCTGGGGAACCTTATATTAGTGACACATCTACACACACGCACGCACTCACACATGCAAAAATAAGTCTGTTTATTCTCTTCAAAGTGATGTAGAGGACCCTGCAGTGCTGGGACACCTTCTAGCCAGTACTTTCCCCAACCCCCCCCCCCCCCCCCAAGCCCCCAGCTGCCTGGATCCCCCCAGCGCTGGGAGCTGTCGGCTGAAGTGCTGCATTGGTCTCAGCGCCTTTAAAACACAACGGAACGGTAAATAAGACAGGCTACAATAAAAGGAGCTGGCGGCACGAGGGAGAAAGCTCCGTGGAGCGGGAGGCTCGGCTGGGAGGCGGAGGGGCTGCCCCCCTACCCCCCCCCCGGGCACGGCCCCCGCACCGGTGCCGGCGCTGGGGAGCGGAGTGTAGTGGATGTGGCGGTGAAGGCGCAGCCGTCCTGGCGACGGGGGGGGGGGGGGGGGCGGAACTCGGCGGCGGGTCACTTGCGGCTCAGCAGGGATCCCAGCAGAAGCACTCCTGCCACCGTCGCCCCGGTCAGGAGCCATTTGTTGAAGGTCTCCTGGCCCTTCCTCACCTCGGCAGCAGCATCGTTCCCGTAGAGGTCCACAAACCGCTCCTGTGGGGAGAGAGGAGCGGTGAGCGGAGGGGGTGGGAGCGGAGCGGGGCCCATCTCTGCCGCTTGCCGGGGCTCCTTCCTCCTGGGTGGGAAGGGGCAGGAAGGCTGCCGGGCTCCCGGCGGCAGGGAAGCGGTGCTGGGGACCGGGTGGATGACAGATGCCTTGTGCTTCCTCGCTCTGAATCACGCACAGAGGGCGATGGGGGAAGCACAGGACCAGTCATGAGAGAAGTGGATGCCAGAAAGGATTTGCGAGGAGAATACCACGCGGGCAGGGCAGGAGATGCGTCACGTGCTCTAGGCTCTCTAAAATTAGCATCAAAGTGTGATAGAAATCATTGCAGCAGGAAAACGCCGGGCTTGATTCCACGGCCGAGGCCTGGGGGAGCAGCAGCAGGAGCCCACGCTGCACATCCCCCCCGCCGCTTGCGCGTCCCACCTCCCTCACCCAGGAGAAGCACTCCCGCGTCCCGGGCACCGCAGGTCGCTTTGCAGCACGATCTGGATTTCATGAATTCCCGTGGCGAAGGCAGACGCTCCCCGAGTGGAGTCGTGGAACTCCTGCCTTCCCCCCCGGGCTTCGGGAGAGCGGGCCAAGCAGGAGGCCTGGCCAGGAATGCAGTCACTCCGGCCTGGCTCGTCCCAGCTGGCCACCTCCAGTCCTTCATCAGCAAGAGCCGGGCAGATTTCAACAGAGCCCCTGCGCAGCAAACTGCCACAGCCCCTCTCCCTCCGAGGGAGGTGTGCGACAGGGCTGGGGACAGATGGCCCTGGCCTGGACGGGGGGTGATGGAGGGCAGAGAGAGAAACCACCAGAGCTGAACTGCTCCCCAAAACAGGCTCTCAGAGAGAGCGCGTCTGGCCCCTGCACCTGGGCAGCACCCCCACGGCACGATGCCACCCCTCCTGCACCCCCGGGGCCACCATGAGGCTAGCTGCTCGGGTCTGCGGGCAGGCTAAGCGAAACAGGGGACTTTACACCCCAGCAGCTCCCAGGTTTATCAGAGCCGAGCAGGAGCACCAGGGCTGGAGGGAGCTGGAGCTGTGAGCTCCAGGCTCAGGGATCGCCAGCAGCTCGGCGTCAGCAGGGGCTCGCCGCTGTCGCACCTCGAGCCCATCTTCCCGCCAAGGTCCCCCTGTTCCCTGATAAGTAAATGCAGTTCCAGTAACCCGGCTGCTCTGGGAAAGGAGAGATAAGCCCGGCTGACGCCGTGCTTGTGTCACGCCTCAACGCGGCCTCCCTGGAGGCAGGGGCAGCATCCCCCCCTGCCCGGGGCTGGCAGCTCTGCCTGCAAGCTGCCTCCCCTGCCCGCGCACAGCCTGTGATGAGCCGCAACCGCTGGCACAGGATCTGCAGGGGCGGGGGTTTGGTGCCCGGATCCCGGCTGGGATCGAGAGGCTCTTGAGGCAGGTGCCTCTCCATCACTCACAGAAACTCGGTGCCAGGCCCCCAGCTCCCCAAAACCACCCTGCAAGCTGTGGCTGCGCTGGGGCTACCTCCTCACCTTGCCCCCCCCCCACACACGAGGGACCCTCGCACAGCTTTTCAGAGCAAGGCGTGCAACACACACGCACGCTCGCTCCCAGGGAGCCGCGCTGCGTCCCCCTCCTCGGCCACCAGGCCTCCCTCCCACAGGGCCCAGGTGCCCGAACAACCACCCGGGTGAGCTGTGCACCTCAGCACCCACCTCTGCCCCACCAACGCTCTTCCACCAAAGACCATCTCCAGCATCTCACAACCCCCCCCTGCCCCCCGGCTGCCTTCCGCGCCCCCTCGGAGGCATCAGCAGCCCTGGCAGGGCAGGGCGCTGGGACAACAGCGACTTTGCTAACTCACCTCGGGGCACGTCGCTGCTGTTGCCTCACTCGGAGCCTTCTTCAGGGATGTGAGAACCGTGCCCGTGACTCTCGCCGACTACACGGAGCGGCAGAAGGCAGCCTGCTTCCCACCGGCCCTGCCAGCTGGCATGGGCTCGGCCGAGGTGGAGGATTTGCATCCATCCCGGCCCCGCAGGGATGGGCACGGCGGCGGCTCACACGCCGGTGCCGCCCAGGGAGGAAGGTGAGAGCTGCCGCCCGCTGCCAGCCCCTCTGCCCGCCCAGGGTGACGGCCACGGGAGCAGCCAGCGACGTGCTGCAGGAGAGCTCAAACCACAAGGAGGGGATATTTTTAATTACGGCACAGGAAATCCCGCTGCTGATAGGTGGTGATGAGCAGCGGAGCGGTGACAGAGCGTGGCGAGTGGCAGCAAAAAAAACGAGAGCAGGCTGGCGGGGATGGAGGGTGCAGGAGCACCGGGGCAGGAGGCACCAAAACCACCAGCTGTGGAGTGTTTCCAACATCCCCACAACATCCCTCCGCAGCAGGGCCCTCGCCCCCCCGGGGAAGGTTCTTCCCTCAGACACACGTCCCAGCCACGCACTCACAGCACCCGACGCTGTGGGAGGAAGGAGCCTGCGCCCTCCTGATGTTATTCCCCAGAAAAAGTCACTTTGCTGGGGGATTCAGTAAGGCCTCACCGAGAGCCCCACACGTCTCGGCAGGCTCCTCCTGACCCATGGGAGGGGACGTCCCCACCATCCCCAGGAAGGCTGCAGAGGTGGAAGGGGCCATGCAGAGAGGGGAGGGCACCAGGACAGGGCCCCCCCCAGCCTGGGCAGGGAGCTGGGGAGGGCTGGAAGCCAAGCCTCCGCGCTGCCTTCTCCATGGCATGTGCTGCCGAGATTGGGGAAAGGCAGTTCCAAGAAGCCTGTTTTGAAGCTCTTACTTCTAAGAAAAGGAAGTGTTTGCTGAACAAGAGATAAATGGCATGCGGTGAAGCGAGAGCTATCGGGTGCTACAGACGGAGAAGAGCACGACAAGAGCCCTGCGTGGGCAGGGAGGGGACGTGAGCCCCTCTCCTTCCCCCGGGAATGGAGCAGCAGCTGCTGGAGACGCAGCCGGGGGCTGCAGGGGATGCGGGAGGCGAGCACCTTGGCCTTCCTCGGGGAGGCCATCCCCAGGAACAGCGATAGCTCAGCCCCTGCACAACTGCAATCCCAGATGTGTCCCCTGGGAATGGCGATCCCAGACCAGGGGGAGTGGGAAAACAGGCAGGAGCATCCTCCCTCCTGGTCCTGGGGGAGGGTTGAAGGTTAGGGAAAGGCAGCTTGCTCCATTCCCACACCATCCCGGGCTTCGGCCGCTCTGCACCTGAAGCCCAGCACTCCCAGTACCGATTCTGACCTCTCTGGCCTGGTGTTTGGGATCTCAGGCTTGTCCAGACACGTCCAGATATTTCTGGCCTCCCCCAGTCACCTTTATCTGAGAGGAAATATTTGGAATTCCTCAGTCGATCACAAGGACTGTGGTAGCAACAGCACGTCAGTGTCTCAACCGCCCTCTCCACGTGCCCGTGGGCCTCTTCCACCCCGGGGAGGACAAGCTGTTCCACTGCCAAAAATCCGTCACATCCCCTTCCCCACCCTGGGTGACGGACACACGTCTAAGAGGAGGATGCTCTGGGGCAGGCGATGAGGAAGCAGTGAGGGGTCATGCCTATGCAAAAGGCAATCCCCCGGCTTCGCTGCTCCTCCCCCAGAGCTGGGGAAGGACACGACGTTTCTCTTGCTGGAGCCCGAACCAGCACTTGCTGGGGGCTGCGTGGGGGGAGCTTCCCTCCAGCTGCACGTTGCTGCTTGCAGGAGGCGGAGGACCCGGAGATCCAGACTCCACCAGTGCCCACCAGCCCGCAGAGCTGGGGCAGGGAGGTTCTGCAGTGCCCCAAAGGGCAGCAGCCGCTTAAACACCGCCCAGTGACAACACTGGACACTGTGGCAGAGAGAAAAGAGGAGTAGGTCTGACCTCTGTCTCGAGTGGGAGAGCAGATTAACCAAGCAGGCAGTCTGGCCGAGACAGCGTTTACAGCCTGGCCTGGAAAAGGGAAGGGGAACACCCGAAGTTTCAGCCTGTCGCTGGTACCCACCCCCGGAGGTTCAGCTGGTTTCATTCACCAGCGCTGCCCAAGCAGCTCCCCCGGCCGAGCGGGAGGGAGAGCCCTTGCTGGATCCCATTCACGGCGAGCGGCACAGACTGGGTTCCTCTTTCAAGATAAGCCCTAATGCTTGGGGGAAGAGGGTTCAGTAAGCGACACCGGGCCATGAGGGCAGGTGAAGGAAGCAGATGTGGGCAGCGAATCCCCCATCTGGTCTCTTGTGAGTCAGGGGTAGAGAGGAAAGGGGAGGGTGGCAGCTGCTGGGGAGGGCAGAGTTTGGGTGCTGAAAGCTCCCCTTGCACGGGGAGGTGAAGGCTATGGAGGTCACCGAGGCACCAGCACGATGTTCTGAAAACCAGGAGCGAAGAGCTGGGCTCTACCAGGACTGTTCACGGTGAACCAGTGGCATTCTGCCTGACTGCAGCACAGAGCCTCCGACTCCAGCAGGAGCCCCAGAGCTCCCCCACGCCCCCGACACCCAGCCAGCCTGTCTTTGAGACGGACACCCACAGCAACCAGCTCAGCACGTAAAAGCGCCTTTCCCGCCCAAGGATCTTAATGTGTTTTACAAAGAATTAGTTGCTTCTCCAAAACCTCCTGCGGGGTAAGTCAGCATTGTTCCCAGACAGATCAGCAGAGGTGTGGAGAGGTTACGTGCTTCGCCCAGAGTTGCGTACAAGCCAGCAGTGTGAGCCACAGCATCTGACTCCCAATCCCGGCATTCTTGTCATGAGGCAATGTTTCACTTGAAAACAAGGCTGTTTCTGTTATACCTTCACCATAACTACAGCTGTGTTACCGCTAAGAGGTCTAACACCAAACGCTGGCCATGAGTGGAGTCATTCGGACAGACAGACATTTGTTAATGAGATGCTGGGAACAGTTTTGTGCTGAGCAGCCAGACAAGCACGGAAAAAGAAATGCAGCAGCTCAGCACAGACCACAACAAAGCCCTGCATCGACAGCAACCTGCTCCCAGAGCCCCTTCGGGCTGCCAGCTCACCACATGGGACTGGCATATGTGAA